AAACGCTCTTGGGTTATCCAGAACTCGATCCGAACATAGGCCCAAGTCCTAAATCATGATAGAAACCTATTGGAACCTTCAAATCCCGATTCCAAGGTCGTTTACTAGAAATATTAACCCAAGTCAAACTTAACCCTTTAAAAGCAATATTAAGGAACTAAGTGTTCTGATTTCAACCCGAACCCTTCCAAATTCCGAACTAACTATCCGCACAAGTCATAAAACAGTTAAAGCACATACGAGGACTCTCATTTAGGGGAACAAGAATCTAAAAATAAAAATGACCGATCGGATCGTTACAAATATTCTTCAACAACTGAAATAATACTTGTTATTGGTGTGGAAGTAGACACATTCATGGATAATAGAACATTTACCCTTTATTCATTTACTTTTACACTTTATTGTTCAACAGTATTACTGACTTCACAATCCTTAATAAATCTAACTTTCTAGCTTGCCACTTCGGTGACTAACAAGCTATAAAACATAATACAGCCGAAGACTCCATGAATGGGCATTTTATATATGTGTATATTTTAATCATTCTAGTTCGGTCAATTTGGTGACTAATAAACTATATATAAGTATAATCACATATATAAAATAGATAATAAGTAGTTTTATGTATGTACAAATTATGAACATACTAATTTGACCACTTTGATGACTAACAATCTATATAACATAAATACATACATAAATTATTTTAAACATGTTGATATTTATTTTTTACACATTCTAGTTTGGCCACTTTAGTGGCTAACAAACTATATAGCTTTAAATATATACACTAGTTATTGCATAATTCCACTTTCAATTATTAGATAATATTATTTTTTCTCATAACGTGGGAACTGTGAAATTGTTAAAAATTTAGGCATTGCAAGTTTTCAAATAGAAACCGTTAGCCTAAAAATGGTTATAAGGCAAACAAAATTGAACAATTCTATTCTCAAGTTAAACATAATGAACCCAGTAAAACTGTTAATTTTTGTTGGATATTGGTTTGGGTCGCCCATATGGACTGACCCGACATGTTTTAAAGGAGATATGATTAAATGAAGTTACCTAGAGAAGGTTTAACTCTTAAAAATAAAACTATCGCACGTTGCAAAGTAAGTGGGAGCGTGGGATCAACGTGAGAGTAGTTTATCGGTAGTTAAGGGTGGCAAACGGGCGAGTCGAGTCGGATATGGTTCGGGTCGAAAACAGGTAATGAAAAAAATAGATACATTATCCGACCCGACGCATATTTAATATGAATAAAAAAGGGGTTAACCGGCGGATATTATGGTGAACCATATTATCCAAGACTTCTTGCATATGATCACTTTTAGAAGAATTGTTAGTCTCCCTAACTTGTGGAACCCCTAATTTGAGGCTTTACAAATCTAAAAGTTAGACCCATTGGTTATTCATTGGTTACCCATTGGTTATCCATTTTCTAAATAGATAATATGGTTCTTGTCCATATTTGATTCGTTTTTAAAAAGTTCATTATCCAACCCATTTTTAGTGGATTGTTTACCGTGAAAATGGTAATAACAATTAAATTTGTTGATGGGACTCTAAAAATACGTGATCTATTTTTATGCTAGTCGTGGAGCAGCTGATGCTGTGAGTGTGTAGTTTGAGGTTGAGACGCAAGCTAAAATAAAGCAGTAATCGAACCGAGAGATAGCCGTTCGGGGCCTCCAGCTAGTCGATTTGGGGTCTCGAGGTCGAGCCTCGAGCTCGGGCTCGAGCTATCGGGGGAAATCGGGGAAGGGCTAACAGATGCAATAATATTAAAGGAGGCTCTTTATAGCCAATGATAAGCAATAAGCAAGCAATAAATATGGAACAAGTATGAAAATAATAGGATAGAACAACAATGTCGAGAGAGTATCTTATAGAGAAAGAGAGAGAGTGATCATATATTTCATGTAGAGTCTTTGGAGCAACATCAGCTTCTGTCTTTTAAAATAATTAGAATCCCCTTTATATAGAAGGGGAGAAGTTTATACGGTAAGGCACACATTAGCTGTAAATGTGTGGAGATGGGACGGCTGAAATGACGCCTCGAGTAGGGCTCAGAATAGCTTGGCTATGCTTTGCCAGACTTAGCCGTGACAGACTTAGTCGTGTCTTGGGAACTCCTATTTCTGCTTTAGCCCCGATCAATATCCTCCCGAGGCCGGATGCCGATGGGCCCCGAGGGAGAAGACTCGAGCGCATCTTTGCTGCCTTGAGGCTTTGAGTCGATCTTCCGAAATGCTTAAAAGACGGGAAATTGGACCCTCCGATTTTGCCATATACATGGACAATATGAGTGGTTAACTGTTTTCTTTAACCATTTTGCCACCTCTATCGGTAGTTTTTTCTCTGACAACTTCCCTTCTCTATATAATCAAGAATCTCCTTCTTCCGAGATTCAAGACTATGTGCAATTCTCCCTACAAAGATAGAATACATTAAAAGAAAGAAGAAGACACCTAGTTTGTGAAAAGTATTTCGTTTCCAAGAGAGACGAAGTCGGACTTGAGCAATCGAGCAAAGCAGGTTCTGCAAGACTTCCGCTACTGTTAATAGGTACACAAATCGATGTCCCTGTTACTCGATTTTAATCAACAATGGTATCAAAGCCAGACGTTCGTTGTGCCTACTTTTTCTCTCTGTTGAATTTTGAAGTTAACAGTGTTTTGACATGAAAACCTAGTACAAATATAAACAGAATTTGGTGTGTTTCTTGTTAGAATATACTATAAGCCATGCGTATTGTTATAGTATTCTTTATGAACAATTTTTTATTTACTTGTTTAAATTCAATAAAGTTTCATTTTAAATAGATCATGTGTTGGTTTGTGTGTCCATTGCTTACATAGTAGATGATTTAGTGTATAGAGTTTAGCTTATACACGGAAGATTAAATCATCGGTTCTTGTAAGACATAAAAGTTAATGTTCGCAATCTAATGATGGAATTGGACAAATCATCGGAATGATTGTAGCACAAGATTAAATATAATTTATCTTGATTATGGGAATGGTTTAATTCCAACTTCTTGTGCTAGTACATTTTGTATGTATTGAACGGATCAAGTAGAGATAAGTATTTTATACTGACTTTATAAAATAATTTCTCTAGTCCATTTAATGTACTTATACTCTTAATCCTGATATAATTATTATTAGCTGTGTATGTCACTTGTTGTTTTGATTTATTAAAAGGCAAGATTCTTTCGCGAGTCAATAAGCCTGGTAATTGGATAACAATGATTTACATTGACGAAGTAATAATTAGTTGATGGAATCCATGTCTCGGTTTTGAGATTGATGATACTCCTTTATGAAAGCTTATAAGTTTTCATGTGTAAACCCGGCCGGTGGATTTTATATCCGACACATGAAATAAGTTAAGTCTAAAGGAAGTAATCAATAAATTAAATAGTCAGTAATTTAATTTGATTGATTAGTATCTGAATCTTAACATGGGGAGTTAAATAAGGTTTTATGGAAGAATTTCGAAATTGAACTAAGGAGTGCAATTACGAATTTTTAGTGGAATAATTCGTAGTTTATTATGATGGAAATTAATTTCAGAATTTCGAAATTAATATCATAATAGGAAGCCTTGTTAATTAAATTATGTGGTCCCTACTGTGCCTAAATAATAGGAAATAGTGGAAACTGTTACTTAGTGGGAAAGAAAACGTGGAAACCGTCCCTTAGTGGGAGAAGGAACCCTAACAGGTTTTGGAAACGATTTTGACCTAAAAAACGCAGCTATATATATATATATATATATATATATATATATATATATATATATATATATATATATATATATATATATATAGGGGCTGGACGTTTTATTTTGATCATTCTTACTGCGGTTTCTGAAAGAATTTTGCCCACCCAAAATTCTCTATTTTCGGTTATTGTTTGGGTAACACAGTAGAAGACTGTGGAAATCTGCTGGTGCGTTTTCAACTAAGGAACTGGAGAACGACATAGATTTGCTGTGTTTACGCTTCAAGAGGTAATCCGAAAATCTCCATATGTGCTAGTTGTTTAGATTACACGTGAATACGATACTGGGATTGCTTCCGCTGCTTATTATAATCCTTCAATTGGTATCAGAGCCTACTCACGTCTAATTAAATAATTAGGATAAACCATAAGGATTAATATCATGTTCTATATGTAAAGTTTTGAATTACATGCAAAGCTTGTTTTTCTGAAAACCTGCACTATTTTGGCGTGATTATCTGTTATGGGTTGTATTGATTATTCTGAAAACTTGATTTATCCTTTTAATATTGGTGAGGTTGAGTTAGAATAATCTGAAAGTTGAATTTTATCATGTAAAACGGAAAAACAAGTTTTGCCGAATTAGGCCAGAAAATCGGAGGTCAAAAAGTTGACGGACTCCGATTGACCTGAAACCTTGCAGGTCCATGCGAAACGGCCCAGTGAGCAATACTCATGGATTTTATGACCTAAGTCGTTTTTTGGGCTTTCGGGGTCGTTTAGATGGCGTTTTTGCTGTTTTTCTAAAATTCTGATTTTTTTTTGGTTTTTAATTCCGGTAATTGTGGGGATCAATTCCCTTGGTCCCCGGGGTTAAAAATCGGTGATATAATGTTTTTACACATTGACGTAGGTCTTTTTCCATATCGGATAAAAATATTATGAATAATCACTGTGTTATACTAGTCATTGATTATTTCTATTTACTCTCCATCTGAGTATGCATGTTGGTTCAATGGGACTAATATATGTTTAATGTTGATATTTACTTGGCTTAAATTAACAGTTTACTCTCCATCTGAGTATGACCTGTTTGAGTTTATGGAGTGAAAATCTGTCATTATATATGTACATTGCAAGAATAGCTTCTTTCCCATCGAAATTTATTGTTCAAGGTGCATAGATTGTATATATATAGTGTGTTTTGAATTTTAATGTTCATAATACAAACTGATTTGATCTATTTAAATATTTAATATCTCCCAGATTGACAATAACTGCTTTCAATCCCCTTACTGCCATTCTTACTCAAAACAAACTTGAGGGTCCAAATTATGTTGATTGGAAACGAAATTTGGATATTGTTCTAATTGTTGAAGAGTACAAATTTGTGCTCGATGAGGTGTGTCCAGAAAAACCTGGAGATGATGCCACAAATGATGAACAAAAGGCTTACCAGAAATGGATTAAGGCTGATGAGATGGCGCGGTGTTACATTTTGGCATCCATGTCGAATGTTCTGCAACATCAGCATCAGTCGATGGAGTCTGCTTATGACATTCTGGAAAATCTCAAAGAAATGTTCGGAGATCAGAATCGTGCGGCTAAGCAGACTGCCATGAAAGCCCTTCTGAATACCAAAATGGTTGAAGGTTCATCGGTCAGGGACCATGTTCTGAAGATGATGAGTCTTCTGAATGAACTGGAGGTCCTTGGAGCTAACATTGATAAGGACACGCAGGTTGAAATGATCCTGCAGACTTTGCCTGACAGTTTTCAGCAGTTTCGCCTGAATTATAACATGAACAAAATGGATTTGTCCCTTGCGAAATTGCTGAATGAGCTGCAGTCGGCAGAGACTATTATCAAGTCTCAAGCTCCTCCCGTGGCATTGAATTTTGAGGCAGGTTTGTCACGACCCTAGTTCACCAACCGTGAACATGTCATGACGGCACCTGGTCCCCATGACCAGGTAAGCCTAACATTTGCGGAAATATATTAATTGCGGAAAAATAAAGAATATCAAATCAAATATCTAAAAGAAACTGTACTGAATGCCGCTTGGCAAGTACAACTCATTATCACAAGTCTAAAACAATTTCCAAAACCCGAAAACTCACGGGCAACACAGGCTACAGAAGTGTATAGTGAAGGTTCCAAACTCCAGAATTTCTAACAACCGAAAGAAGGAAAAACTAAGTACTAAAGATAGAATAAGAGGGAGACTCGTCGGTCTGCGGACGCAGCAGATCTACCTCGAAGTCTCCGTAGTCCTCCTGCCTCACTGATAGGGCGCCTGAGTAGAGGTACCTGGATGATCTGCACATGAAAAACATGCGCAGGAAGGGCATGAGTACACCAAAACGGTACTCAGTAAGTGCCAAGCCTAACCTCGGTTGGGTAGTGACGAGGAAGGTCAGGGCCATACTGAGACAAAATATAGTAACAACAATAATTAACAGTATGATAATCTGACAGAAATAATAAATACAGCAGTGATATAAGACAGATTAAGCAAGGCAATA